CATTGTATTTCTATACATGTCAGAAGCTACTTGGTGGCTAGGCAGGAGAATCGTAATTGTTTGGGCTAGCAAGACCTCAACTCAAAACTTAAAAGTTAAGACCTGGCGTGGTGGCGCACACCTGTAATCCCAGCACTCGGGAGGCTGAGGCAGGAGGATTGTTGCAAGTTCGAGACCAGCCTGGGCTACAAAGTGAGCACAAGGCCACCCTGAACGGCACAGTGAGACCCTGTTTCAAAAAAAAAAAAAAAAAAAAAAAAAAGAATTATATAAATGGGCTGGGAATGTCACTCAGTAGTAGAATGCCCGGGGCTCAATCCCCAGTGTAACAGCACAGGGGACAGAGCCCAGTTTAGACCACCAGGCTTCCATAAAGGCAGCATGGCATGAATGTCTGAAATACACACACAAAAAGAAAAAAATCTGGATTCATGTCCCAACATTTACTGAACTGTCATTTTACTTTTGGCATTTTATAGACTGCTGTGGGCTTCTAGTGCTTTTGTACTGAGGTACATTTCCAGTTTCTTTTTATTTTTATTTATTTATTTTTTAAAATTTATTTTGAGACAAGGTCTTGCTTAGTCACTAAACTGCCTAGGATGGGCTTGAATTTGTGACCCTCCTCCCTCAGACTCTCAGAGTGCTGGTATTATAGGCATAGACCATCATGCCTAGCATAAGCTTTTTTCATTTTACAAAAAGAAATAATAAAATTTAATTTGTCTACAAAGTTGGTTACTGTGAGCTTCAAATAACGTGTACCAACTAACTTCTTCCATTCTTCCTTTAAAGGGTTTTGAAACAGGGTCTTGCTGTGTAGGCAGGTTGATCTTGAAGTCATTATGCAGCCCAGGTTAGCCTTGAACTTGAGGCAATCAGCTCTTGCCTCAGCCTACCAGGTGCTTTGGGAAATGGAGGCAGGAACATTGTTCATGCTCATTGCTCGTGTTCAACTTGAGCGATATAGCAAGACAGTGTGTAAATAAGGGAGAGGTGCTATCAGAAATGATAGTGCACACCTGTAATTCCTGCACTTGGGAAGCTGAGGCAGGAGGATCACTGCAAGTCCAAGACCAGCCTGGACTACAAAGTGAGTTCAAGGTCAGCCTGAACTGCCCAGTGAAGCACTCTCTTGAAAAAGAAAAGAAAGATGACATACAAAAACAACCCAAGGGGCTGGGGATTTAGCTCAGCGGCAAAAAGCGCCTGCCTGGCAAGCGCAAGGCCGTGAGTTCGGTTCCCGGTACCGGAGAAAAACCAAAAAAAAAAAAAAAAAAAAAAAAAAACATAACAGAAACAACCCAAAATAAAACAAACCAAAAAACCCATAATTAGGGGCTGGGGATCTAGCTCAGCAGCACAGGTGCCTGCCTGGCAAGTGCAAGGGTACTGAGTTCGATTCCTGGTACCAAAAAAAAAAAAAAAAAAAACAACTAAACTGACAGTAGAACCAAACACATAAAGATACGTGTAAAAAAAGACTGAGAAGGGCTGGGGATTCAGCTCAGCGGCAAAGCGCCTGCCTGGCAAGCGCAAGGTCGTGAGTTCGGTTCCCGGTACCGGAGAAAAAAACCAAATACAAAAAGACTGAGAAAATTTACCAATAATGATCTTCTGAATCAGTTTTATTCTTAAATTAGCAATAAAAAGAATGATGAGTTGTGTTAGCAAGAAAATATATGATATCTGATAATAGCCTTAACAGGAATATATGAGAACTTCATGAATAAAATTGTGCTTGGAAACTGGACACAGTAGCAAATCCCTGTACAGTGGTACCTTGGTTCATAAGCTTAATTCGGGTGCACCTGAATTGTCAGAATTGTGGATTGAATTCTGAGACCAGGATTATGGAAAGAATTAACTTCATTAAATGAGGTACCACTGTAATTCCAGATACTTGAGAGCTGAGGAAGAAGGGTCACAATCATGAGTGTAGTTTGGACAATTTAGTAAGACCTTGTCTCAGCTGGGCCTGGCAGTGCACGCCTGTAATCCCAGTAGGCAGGAGGCTGAGGCAGGACAATCATTGAGAGTTCGAGGCCAGCCTGGACTACAACTGAGCTCAAGGTCAGCTTGAACTGCATAAGAGACCCTGTCTCAAAAAGACAAAAACAAACAAACAAAAAAAGACCTTGTCTCAATATAAAGTAAAAAGGGCTTGGGATGTAGCTCAGTGGTAAAGGCCCCAGGGTCCAGTCCCTAGTATGTTGGTGTGTAGGTGTAAATAAATACACAAGCTTGGGAATGTTGAGTATAAATTGGTAAATATTAATGAACCACTACTGTGTGGTCATTAAATTTCTAGAGGTTTAATGTAATTTTGTTTCCTATATGTGCCATTTTTAAGCCCATTTTTAAGCCCATGCTCACAAGTGTGCCTTTTGTGAGCATGTGATGTTATAGATTCATCAACTTTTATGTTTGAAACATGCCATAACATTGACATAGTTGGGTATGGTGACCCGTGCCTGTAATTCCAGCATGTGGGCAGGGGCTGAGATAGCAAGATAATGTTTGAGCCTAGTCTGGGCAGTTTAGTGACTTACCAAGGCCTTGTCTCAAAATGAAAAATAAGACGGGCGTGGTGGCACTTGGGAGGTTGAGGCAGGAAGGTTGCTGTGAGTTCGAGGCCAGCCTGGGGCCGGGGAGATAGCTCAGTGGCACAGCGCCTGCCTTGCAAGCATACGGTCCTGAGTTTGATTCCCAGTACCCAAAAAAAAAGAAACAAGACCAGCCTGAACTGCACAGGGAGACCCTGTCTCAAAAAAACTGCTTGAAATGTAACTCAGTGCAAAGCCCCTTGGGTTCAGTCTCTAGTACTGTGATAAATACACAATACATACATACATACATACATACATAATGTACATACGTATAGACCTAGATTAGTTTTGTTTTTTAATCTTGTAGAGTATACTTTACCTTCCTGTGGTTCAGTGGATTTACCTTAGGAGAAATTAAGTTCTCATTTTGTCCTTTTTTTTTTTTTTTTTTGATACATCCTTGCCATGTAGTCCATATAGGGCTTGAACTCACTGTGGAGCCCAAGCTGACCTTGCCATCTTCTTACTTCAGAATGCTGGGATTACAGGTGTAATCACCATGCCCTGCCATTTTGTCTTTTGACAGATCTGTTAGAGTATCAGAAGGTTGTCCTCTATTATTTGGTAGATTTGTTAGAATTTCCCTATAATTTTGATCTTTTAGGGGTGGGTATTTAAGACGGGGGTTTCATTGTGTAGTGCAGGCTGGCCTCGAACTCATAGCAGTCCTGCCTCCTGAGTGCTGGGATTACAGACATGCCCCCACGCCCAGCTTTGATCTTTTTGTTGGTTACCTTGCTTCTTGGGCTCATAGCAGTGTAGTTCTTCTTTGTAACTCTACTGTTTTTTTGTTTTTTGTTTTTTGTTTTTTTTTAATCTTTTTGAGACAGGGTCCCACTATGCAGTTCAGGCTGGCCTTGAGCT